TTAGATCAGACTCCTCAGGAGCTTGTCTGCTGCAGTTTTATACATCTCCAAGGATGGACATTCTGTACTCTGATCCAGTGTTGTGATGAAAATGTTTTCCTTACATCTGTTGTATATGTTATTATTATCTTCTGAGGCCTGCCAAAGTCTATATCTCACCTAAATTCTGCAGTTTAACTGGATCTGAAACAGTGAATGAATGTACAATATATTTGTCAATATCTTTGTATTACAAGTGAAGCTGAAAGAAATAATTTCTCCTAGGCTAAGAGTCACATACAAAAGAGCTTTTCTTGAGCTTCTGACACTGCATTAAAACCTTGAGTCTCCCCTCACCCAAAACCTACAGCAAACACAAAACTGGGTTTATCTAAAGCAGTGGGGTGACGGGGTCCATCACTATGATTTGATGTCAGTGATTTCCTTCAAAGCACCAGTGTTGAAAGAATCTTAGATGATGCAGGACATATACTGCTTCAGGCCTGCTTGCACAATCCGGCCTGCGTGCTGGACGGCAGGGACCTGTGTTCTCCAGCAGCAGATCTGTGTCCTTGAGCAGCGGATATCAGAAAGCTGCATAGAGGAAAACAAGGAAGGAGGTTGTTATCCAGAGTGTGAGAAACCAGAAGATGGGGGGCCTGGAAATGTGCCTTGGCTAGTAGAGCCAATAAAGTTATTGATATAGTGTGTGAAAGTAAATGTAACCAATAGAAAGTTAGAAGAGAGCGTGTGAACCCTGTAGGACCCTTGATAATGTGTGTATTTTTGGAATAAAGTCAGAGCATTGACTGTACCTCTATGAGGATGTGTCTCTAACTCTCGAGCTGGTTTTTGCATCTTCTCATTTTACACAGGAGAGTTGTAAAAGCAACACGTGTGTTCCTCTTCCTGCTTTATCCTAAAATACAGCCCGAGACAACAGTGTGATGGCTCAAGGGCAGCAGCAGCCAATGGAGCTTTTTTGGACTTTTCCCTCAGTACTGAGGAATGACACCCAGCAGGAGGAGCTTGACACTGAGCAGTTGCTGAAGATCTACAGCTTTCCTTATTTATCCAGTGGCGCTTTTTTTCTAATGCAACCATTGTTTGGAATTTTGGCTATTTAAGTGGAGATAGAAGATACAATGGGATCATTAATACTTGTAACTTAAGATGAAATGATGCAGGCAAATAACAGGAGCTAAAGACGATGAGAAAAACCAGTACATGACTTCACTCCAGCATTTTCCAGATGAATTCTGCATTGAGATGCTGGAACAGCTTCACCCTCAAAGCATAAAATAGATATACACACAAAAAAAGAAGTATACTGAGCACAGGTTGTTCAGAATTTTGCTTGAAATATTTACTTCTAAAAATCTGATGTTAGGGTGAAATTTTATTTACTTGTTTACCTGTAGCTACATCTACAATTTAAAGTGATGGATCTAAATGAAGAGATCTAGGTACGATTATGTTAAAATACGTGAGTAATAAGTTTGTTGTAGCTTTCAATGTGAGTATTTCCTGTAATTACATAATCCCAATTCTCTCTCAAGTACTCTGTCTGCACTGTGCTAATGCTCCAGTCTTCCTTGTTTATGGATCTCCTAAACGTGGGAAAACAGACCTTCAGTTCTTGCCTACTATAAAATTCAGAGCACTACAGCTTTACAGCTATTTTGTCCCTTTCCAAGAATGCCCCCTCCTCCCCCTGCCTTGGTGGTGTGCGATGGATCCTTTTTCCTAATGTCATTCTCACAACTCAGGAAATGTCCCTGCTTTCCTCTGCAAGCTTATGCTTCCCTGTTGCCCTTAGAAAGATGGTTTAGGGAAACTTCCAGCCCCACTACAGCTTATCTACAGCCAACAGATACATAAGTCTGTGTGTACAAATGCTAATTTTCTTGTTTGTTCTAGTGTAAGATTGTTTCCTTAACTTGAAATAGCAGGTACTTGCTCTGTTTTCATTGAAATGTTGAAATATTTATTTGTTGGGGTTTGGTGGAGTTCATTTGGTTGTTTTTTGGTAAAGTTCAACAGGACTCCAAAGGGTGGATGTACATCTCTTCTTGATGTGACTCCCTTGCTTTAATTCCTGCGCTGTGAAGGATGTCAGGAACAGAATGTGAGGAAGATGCAGCTCAGAGCTCTGCATCACCCCAATGTGAGGATCATCCCACGAGGGATGCACAGCTGCAAGCTCCATCTCCTACAGGATTTCTTTTTTGCCATGCCTTTAAAGGTGTCTTTTGTAAAAAGACTTCTCAAAACTCCTTAATGCTTCTCAAAGCCTCCTCAGTACTAAAAAAAAGTAAGCTTTGAAAAGTGGTTTTTTCCTCCCCAAAGCATTTCTGCCCACTGTAGTCTTCCTGACAGCTTACTGAGTTTTTGGAAATGTCAAGCTCCTTTTAGAAGACAGGACAACAGATTTTATTTGACCTCAGTGAGGAAATGCAGAACAGCTCAGGAAACTTTACTGGGTGCTTATTAAACTTTCTAATTACTGTTTAGCCCATATAAACTTCACAGCTAGAGTACAAATATTTTGAGGGTTGATCGCAGGAGATTACCTGCCTCTGCTTGGAACAAGTGTGTTATTAAATGTGGCTCAGATCTAGCATATTTAATAATGCAATTAATGTCATAAAGATGGTTCCCAGTTCAGTTCTGCAAGCAAAACTCTCTAGGAGCTCCTTTACTTCACTGTTGAATGCTGTGAGGAGGTGGGGATGCATGTTTACCACCAGTTTAGTTCGATCCCAGAGCAGCCCAGTCTTTGTGCTTTGAGGCTGCTCTGCCATGGGAATAAAAGTGCAGGAGTTGGGGATGATCAGAGGGTTTGCTTCAAAAGTTGGAGCAAGAGAGGTGGTTGCTTGTGAACAGCTTCTGACACTGCTACTTTGTCTCCTCTGGGTTTCTTAGCCTTAAAGGGTGTTACAGTTTCTCTAAATCACCCGTTGACAAAAGATGTTTGTATTGATTTAATCCACGCATGTGGAGGATGAAACAAACATCTCATGCTCACAGTATGAAGAATCACATTTTACAAAATCTCGTGGCTTATTTCTTGATGTTCTTCTCTCAGCCCTCGTGCTCCCTTGTTTCCCTTTTCTCCTTGGAGGGCATTCTCCCCACTTAGACAATACCACAACGCACTTTCTGGAGGAGTCCTAAATGTCAAATTGGTCCAGCAGTTTGAAGGCAATCACTGATGTTACTAGCACGAACATGAAAAAAAACGAGGTACCGTCACATGACCACATCTGCTCTTTTAATATCTGGTTTATGAGTGTAGGTGTAGGTTGGAAGGGACCTTAAGTATCATCTCATTCCAACCCCTGGCATGGGCAGGGTCACCTTCCACCAGATCAGGTTGCTCAAAGCCCCATCCAGTCTGACCTTGGACACTCTCAAGTAGGAGTGAAGAGGATGATCCTTGTTCAAAGAAAATGTGCTTTTTGTTACTGTTACTCTATAAATTTTGCATTTTTGTGGGTCTCTGCAAGCTCCACTGCCCCAGTGTGCTCACAGATGTGCTTTGGATGCCCTTTTCACTCAATGCATTTCACTGTATTCATGTGATTCTACCCTTTTCCCCCATGCTTTGAGGATGTCTTCTCCTCCAAAGGCTGCCTTGCCAGCTGACCACCCCCAGCCAGGACCAGAGCAGTGCTTGGGTCAAATGGAAATTTACCTTTGCTGTTACTGCACTTGCCAGTGCTGTTTAAATATTTACTACATTTACTAAAGCAGCTTTGCTATTAGAAACCAGACTCTGCAGGTGGTGTTTTGGGACCCAGGAAACTGGAAATTAACTGACTTCCAACTGACTTACCTGCAACCGCCTCCTCTTGCTCTCATCCAGCAGCTTTTGGCTAATGGGGGGACACTTGCAACTCCAAGGGAGTTTTTCCCAGAGAGCTGAATCACAGAGAATATCCGCTTTTCTGTCTTGCAACATCCTTATAAATTGTCTTCCTGATTTTTATTTCTAATATATTATTTATGATGTGTAAGAAGCAATTAAAATACTGACGCTGCTCAGATGCACTTCGTATGTAAGGAAATGTCATGTTAAATATTTCATGTAGCTATTTAAAAGCCAAATTCACGTTCAGATAGCGCCACCTGTCTCTAAGCCTCTGCAGCTGCACAGGACAAGTTTTAGAGAACTAATATAACTCCTGGCAGTGCTTAAAAATAACTTCTTTAGGGGAAAAATTGAAAAGGCAGAGGTTTCACAGCTCTGATTTTTCAGGGTGTTCGGTAATAGCGCATCCATCTGCATACAGAGCAACCTCAGGTTGGTTCCTAGTTTTCCAGGTTTTTATCCAGTTGACTGCTGGGCTCTGAGCATGTGGGTGACATGGCCTCACGCAGGAGCACAGCCCAGCTCACAGCGCAGCTCTTGCCTTGTGGGTATGTGCCTCCTGACTTTCAGGTGGCATGGACTCATTCCCAATGACTTTCCAGAGGGGTTTTCTAAGCAGCTCCCTGGGAGGCTTGTTCTCTACCAGGTGTTCATAGTTGCATGCTTAGTAAATGATTGTCATGGAGAAGTCATGGTGAAGCATTAACTCTCTGGTGGGAATAGTTTGGTGAACACAACTACCAGTTTCAAATATTTATTTGAAATTCCATGGTGCTACCACTGGAATGTTTCGATCAAATCCACTGCAACATAAAAATTTTTTGTGGTTTTCATTCAAATTCTTCAAGTGATTTTTGCCTACTTCACCGTGATCTGCCAGAAGTCATATGAAGTTGCAGTTTTATTAGCTTGAACTCAAAACTAGGGCACAATTAAGATTTTTATCTTGTTTTGTTGCCCTCACACTTAAAGGCATAAAGAAAACAGATAAAGCAAACTGGGCTAGACACCACATTCACCACAAGAAAGGTAAAAGGTGGGTCACAGGAGCTGCTCAAGGGTGAAGGTACAGCTTAAATCCCACGTGGGTGCTTAGAGCTTGGTAAGATCCCTAACATCACTGAGGACATTTTCTGCTCTTCTGCAGTGAGATGGACACTGGGCTCAACTCAGCTGGAAGAACTGTGTCCTGCACATGTTCTCCTGCTGGAGACTTCCATGCTGTAAGCTTTGCCTGTGACAAAGCTGGTAAGTTAAGCCCGGCCTCAAGAAGTTTATTTTGATTATTTCAGTAATTGCAGAAGGCCAGGTGAAGAAAAGGGCATTGATACTTGCTTATCCAGAGCTGGCTTATGCGTACACACAGTCTGGGAAGCAGTGAGTATTCCCTGCTGTTACCTGGTGGTGGTTGTGTTATCTCACTCAATTCCCTGCAGCAAATGAAACCTGGAATGAGATGGAGAAAGCAGCAGGGTTTCCATGTTGTGTTGCAGCATCCCCACTGGCAAACCTGGCAGCACTGAATGGACATGGTCCCTTGTGTCATCTTTAGAGCCAATTCCCTCTGATAGAGTGTCTGGGGACATGTGAGAGGATGTGTGAGCTGCCTGACTTGGCTCCAGAGGTGGGGAGCCTGCCTCAAAGGGATCAGTTTGTCACTGCATTGCTCTGCTGCAAAAAGCCAAGATGTTTTTCCTCCCATTTCTCACCCCATCTCCCACTTCACTGGGGCTGGGACATGGGAAGTCCCGAGCAGAGCTGCCTGCTCTGCCTCTGCAGAGCACAGAGGTGTCTGAATTGCTGTGGCCAGCCTGCTCCATTGGAGGCAACACCCGTCCCAGGAATGGGTAGGGAAAAGTCACATTGTGAAAAAAGGCAGCAAAGCTTTTAAAAACCATCCACGTGACAGTGGTGCTAAATGTGCCACACACATCTCCCAGCCAAGCAATGCTTTTAAACACATGCTGAGTTCAAGCAGGTTGATTACATACTCCCTGATGTGCACGGCAAAGTAGAAATGCACTTCCTTGCATAAATATAGTGAAACGTGCCCTTGAATGCTGCTATCTGTGAGTCATTTATGTATTACTGAAAGGCCACAGATAGCGTGATGCCATCAGTAAACAAAAACCAGAACTGAAAAAAAAAAGGCTTATAAAATAATAGTAATAATAGTAGTAATGACAGTTATCCGTGGTAGTTAATAAATAAGGTGGGCTTAGAACCATGGGCTCCCCGTTTTCCTGCCCAACTGAATGCCCCGTTAAATGCAGTGAGCTCGGCTTTGCTAGTGAGGGGTAGTCCCGAGTTCTGGCAGTGCTTCAGGCACCCTGGCTCAGGTGCTCGCTGCAGCCTTGTCCGTCAGCAGAGGTCAGCACAGCCCTCTGTGCTGCCCAGCCACTGGCTCGCAGGATCTCCTCCCACGGCTGTACGAGCAGCTGTGATTTCTCTTTTCCCCTCTGGAAAAGGGCTTTTGAACACAGAGAATTATTCTGTGAGAACAGAATTATTATGCAGGCATCTACAGTGTAAAGGAAGACGATTAATCCCCACATCACCAAAAAGTGTATTGTGTGGGGTTTAATGAAGATTTCTTCCCCCTCCCCCCAAAATGGACGCTTTATAGTTTAAATTATTTATAGGTCTATTACAGAATAATCAGTACTAAGTATACATGCATACACAGAGCACAATAAATTATGTATCTTTCCTTAATATTTCATGAGTAAGAGCCATGGCATGTATTGATTTCATTTAGACCTGAGTTCAAGAGAGCATTTAAACATACTTCTATTTTTAAATCCACAAATCATCATAATGGGACTGTTCAGGTGCTTTCAGTTAGATATATATTTAACAACCATGCTGAATTTGAGCCATAATAATAATTAGATTAATATTTTGAACCAGTGCCCAAGGAAGCCAGTGGGAGCTATTTAATCCATTTTACTAGGTTCTTGGAGTAGGATTCATTTTTTAATATATGTGTATATATATATATATATGTGTATATATATACATTTAATGAAAGAAATTGAAGGTAGAGCTTCACTGAGAAATTGAAATTTGTCTGAGCCTGGAATCACCTTATATCATCATGGATTTCAGTAGCAATTTGAGAAATCAAGGCAAGCTGTCTTAAGTAACTCATTCCTCTATTGCCTAGCACATGCCACCCTGAAGGTTGAATGTGAGTTACAGGAACTCATTCTTACCTATTGAAATGAAAAGCACTTTTTTTTCTGTCCTGAAAGATATGGGAAAAGTTAGTGGTTTTTTTTAGGACAAAATGCTCAAAAGCACTTCCATAGTACAAAAACTTAAATCTCACCGGCAGACTTGGGGCTCTGAGCCAGCTGAGAGATGGCTTAGCCTGAACCACATGGGAGGATTAGGACTTCCAGCTGTTTTCCTGCACAGATGCCCATGCTGCTGTGGAATTGGCTCAAGCACCATGACAGTTTACATTTTGGGCATTTTTCTTATCCCACATGCAGGTTTTAATTATGTGCTTGGTCTTCTCCAAAGCAATGGTTGGGATACATTTATGTCTTTAATGCAGAGGTCAGAAAGGACCAATAAGTCTTGTCAAGAAAGCACTTGCATTAAATTGGTCATTTAATTTGGCCCTGGTGGTAGCACTAAGGAAGCTGTACTGTCTAGAAGGAATCTGCCATATAAACATCAGCGCACACCTTATTTTCTTGTTTTTGTAGAAAAAAAAATCAGATCACAACACCTGTGACTGCTTTGAGCCTTGCATTTCTTCTCTGGGACATATCCAAAATTTCACTCTGGAGAATGTGGCTACAAGTAGTATCATCATCCACAGGAAAACATAAAAGAAGACCAGGCATAACCTGAAAGCCTAATTAACTGATTTCCATTATTTTTCCTTTCTTGTCCTTTTTTCCTCTCTTTTCACTCCAGGATATAGGCAAAGCTGATGATTTTATCTTTAATATTTGCAAACTACAGGGAGACTGTGCTTCTGTCTTTAGGTTTTTGTGACTAAGTAGTAATAATTGTTAATGTTTCCCTCTGAAAACATCCTATGTGACCTGGTTCTTACAGAAGTAAATTAAATAGCCTTCATTTTATTCCTTTATTATTATTACCATTATATATTAATAGCAAGCTGTACTGGGCTACTGTTTATTTTTATAACCCAGTGTTTGTAGTTGAGTCTGTATGTTTGTTCACATGTTAATATGGACACAAATATTGAACCATTCTGGGTAAAAACCTCCACCTCTAATGGATCTTCAGTATTACTGTGCTTTGCTTCCACAAGATGTTCTTGCAGTGAACTGAGAAAATCAGTCTAGATCTTACCTGTGGTTCTAAAGTTTAGGAGTTGATTATTTTTTTCCTACATTTAGTAGGTCTCCATATCGAGCTGCAACTTTATTCAGTTCACTTCCATAGATCAAAATTTTTTGGTTTAGATTTTAAGGATTTATTTCATATGTTAGTAGGTGTTAAACATCCTGCAGGAGAAAATCTCAGAAGACATCCATTTGTAGATACAGTCCTTTTTATCTGGGGCAAAATGCAAAGACCTGCGAGCAAGCCAAAATTTAATTGTATTATCTAATGGCATAAAAATTTAGTTATAGCTCTCTTTAATAAAATAAATTTGGAGTCTTAAATGATAATTCTAAAATTAGATCATGTCACACCTTATGGCTGTCAGTTCGCTTTGTGTGATGAACCAAGAGCCTTGAACATTTCCTGCAGAAATACCCTTTTATTTCTGCTTGGGGGTTATGAGTTGAAAAGACTTTCTGAGATATGGCTAAACTTGATGCATTGTTTAAATCACAGTTTCTTTTACAGTCTTCCTTCTAACAAAAGAATTACCGTGGCTCTTTTGGACCAGCAGATATACAGCACAATGGAAAGTACAGAATGCTTAAGGAAAGAGCATGAGAACAGAGACAGCTTATAGAGGTCCTGCTCATGGCAACCCCTGCTCAGAGATGCCTGGCAGTGAGCGGTCTGACCCCTGCCTTCAGCCGGTGCCAGTGCTCGTGAATTTGTCTCCACCTTCTCTGAGCCCAGGTAGGTTTTTCACCTTTACAAAGTCCTCTGCCAGTGAGTTCTGCATATTAACTGCATCTGTTCCTGTAAAGATGCCTCCTGCTAGGCAGAGAATAGCCTGAGGCTCATGTCCCTGGTAGATCCTGGTAAATCCTGACTGAAAGCAGGGAGAGCTGCCCAGTCATTGATGATAATGCCAGTTCCTAAATTTCGGCTTAAGACTCGAGCTTTAGGCGCCTCTAATGGGAAGCTTTTCTGATTTCCACAGCAAGAATGATGGAATGAAATTCATGGCTGAGAAGGTGCAAGGAACAAAAAAGAATTCTAGAAAGTGGTAAAATATGTGATCCTATGGCGTCAGGTTGGAAACGCAGGTTCTGCATCTCCTACTGAGTGTCTGTGTGACCCTGATGTGCCCATCTGGAAAGGAGATAGAAAGGTTATTATTGACCTAGAAAGGACACAGCTCCCAGCAGGTGGGCACAGGCTGCCTGACACACTTTGATGTCTTTGTCCTCACAGCAGCTTTGGAGGACAATGGCGACTTTGGTGTGCCTTTGATGCCACCCTGGCATCTTAACGATTGAGCTGTTCTGCTGTGCCTCCCCAGCCAGCCATTTCCTGTGGCATGAGCCTTAACTGATAGCTGCCTGCAAGTGTATTTCAAGAGCAGAGTGAAGTTGGTGTTAGAAGAGAAGCATATTTGTCTGTTGGGCAGCAGCAGTTCAGATACCTCAGTACTGAAGTTATATTTGATGGTACATGTACTTTGCTGCAGGAAAGCTGCCAAATGGCATCATACTCCTACGTCAGAGCTCTGTGTAGATGAAAAAAAAGTGAATTTCCATGAGCTTCTTGGCCACAAAAGTACTTGCAGGTCTTTATACAGCTTCACCAGGCTGGGATCAAGGCCTGGCTCAGACCAGAAAGCACCATTGGGGCTGATGTTGTCTGTACTGAGTTGGGGCTTATTGAGTGGCTTAGACAAGGGTGAAGGTAGAAGTTCCCCAGCCAAGTCCCCTAGGACTAAATGACAGAATTACAGTCTGATCCCCAGCTCATGACCCCAGGAAGGGGCAGCTTTCTCCTAAATGTTTATGTTAGTAGAGGGATGTTTTTAACTCTTTGTCATGATTCTTCTTCAGCCTACAAGTCAGGTGTGGCAGTCCTAGGACGAGCTATGGTTGGATCAGGCTTTTCTCCTATTTCAAATGTTAGAAAACCTTTCTCATTTCTGTTTTGTTAACCTTGCTGATGGTCTTCCACTTTTCTTTCTGCAGCAAGTGGAAGTCCATGAGTCCCCAACCATGCAGATCATTTTTCTAGGTTTGTTTCTCTGTCACAGATAGTGTAGACCCACTGTCCTAACCCCAGTGGCTGATTTTGAATTCTTTTGGCTCTGATCTGAAGCCCCACTGAAGGCCATAGAGGTTTTCCCAGCATGATTAATATTACCCAATTTCAAAGTATTACTTCCCTCTCGAATTGCCACCACACATTCCTATGGGATAACTTCCCCTTGCCACATCATTTGGACTGCCCAGCTGTTGCTTAGCTACAAGACTCCATAAGAGCCCAAGCCACAGCAGAGTGAGCACTGAAGCATTTCAAATACAAGACCCAAAGGATACTCATCAATGTACGTGCAGTTATATTATAGGTCCCGAAATCTGAGGTTTTAGTGACCATGGCTGTTACCTTTGAGCTGACACAGCTCTGATTGTTGCCAGCTCAGCTTTTGCTGGAACCAGCTTGTTTGCAGACTGTGGCCAGTTTTAAGGAATGTGTGTCCTTCAGGGGAAATTGCTAAAGGAAGGCCCTCAGAAGAGGGAAGTGGTATAGGAAAGGAGCTCCTTGTTGCTGAGAGGAAAAGCTGTGATTGTCAGGGTTAAGCCCTGGTCACTGGAGTCAGGTTAAGTGATGCAATACCAATGTAAACAGCAGAACTGGCCAGAGCTGCTATGGATGGATTGATCTGTCTCTGCAGCAGTGACAGTTTTCAGCTCTTCCCTGACAGTTTGCCTAAGGGACTTGTTTTATATCCAGAAACTGGGATTGCATTTCTGCAACCTCATACAAATGAATGCCACGGATTGCCCAGGACACGTCTTTGGTTCCCACAGCAGCTGTGTGTGAAAGACAGCGCACTGTGCTTCCAGCAACATTAATTAATAGTCTGGAGGTGAGTGCTCAGCTCAACACTTGAATTTAATAACAGTTCATCTGAATGCAGGAGAAAATTTCTCTAAACCTCCAGCAGCATCTGGTAGGGACTCACTCTTCAGCTCTCTGGTGGCTATGGCTGTGGCTTGTGTGGAGAGGAAGCCTGGAGAAAGCTTTTCTTGAGGTTCAGCTGCCTTCAGTGTGAGTCAGCAATGGGAAACAAAGATAAGAGCAAAGAGCTGAATGGTGCTAGGCCATCCCCAGAGCAAGGCTGGAATGGCATCGTGCTCAAGAGCTTCCTTGGAGTAAATGTTCATGTTGGTCCATAGCAACCAAGTTCCCGCCTACACCTCTGGTGTGATGCCGGACCAAGGGGGCCTGTGGCAAGGGCAAGGATTGCAGTTTTGGTCTTCTTTTTATCTTCTTTGTCTCCAAAGATTGCTGTTGGTGTTTGCATTACAGATGGGAGCTCATGGAGGAACCACAGCTGACCATACAAGGGGTCAACTCTTTTTTTCCCCGTGTTTTATGACAGGAAAACAATATGAATGAAACCTATCAGTTAAGAAGAGAGGAGTTCACTACAAAATACTGTACACTGGATTTCTGGTCCATATACAGCCCTACTGAGAAAATGCACATCAAGGGTGACTCCACATTGTTGTTTTTTCTTGTTGTTAACAGCGATTTAACTTTAACATCTCTATAAGCAGTGAGGAACAAACCTCTCCTGGGAAAGTGTTAGTGCTTTTTGATCCCTAAACTCAAAAGCAAGAGAAGTTCTTGGTGAAACACTCGGTGATGTGCCTAATTTTTGTAGAGCTGCCTCTAGAAAAAGAGGGCAAATCCCCCAAAACTGATAATCAAGTGGGACTTAATAAGATACCGCATTAATGTATGGGAATTCAGCTCATGGGGACTTGTGCCACATATATGGGGTTGTTCTAACACCAACAAAAGAGCCTAAATTTGAAAATAACCTGGAACACTGCCCAGATTTTTTACTTTGTTTCCTGTGTGCTCACTTCTAAACCCATTTTGCCTGTCACTTCTAAACCCATTTTGCCTCTCACTTAGCAGTGGAGTTGTGCCCAGGTAAAGGCACTGCTTGTACACTGGTTAAATACTAGTTTCATAATGCATATCCATTCTTTGGTCCCAAGGTATCACTTACAGCGAATTATTCTGCTCTGTTATGTTGTCTATTGATCACTCTTTTTTGCCTTTTATCCTTGTTGTTGTTCTTTTGCCTGTCTCTTGCAGAAAGTGGTGCCAGACCATTAGGAAACTGAATTATTAAACCTCTGTATTGATTTTTTCTTGACCATATAGCTGACGTTATCGTGCAAGGACCTTGCCTTGAGCTATGCAGAAGGGGTTTTGCTAAGCACTTGACAGCTCTCCTCATTCCTTTGCTTCATTACCTTCCCCCTCTTTCTCACTTCATCATTTCCAAGAGGAGGAGATTCATAAAACCATTATGTAGAGTCATTGCATTTCACTGTGAGGCTCCTTTTGCTAGCAGCCACACAAATGATGGTATTTTTCTTTCTTTTCACTCCAGAGGTACACAAACAGATCAGCCCATTTGCTAAAAGCCTCAGCACTGACACCACGGTATCCATGGCAACGCCCCAACCTGCGCAAGCATCTGCAGACACTTCAAAATACCAGGCGATGACAAGGAGTCGCTTCAGACAATGGATGTTTATGGGTGGCACAGCCATCTGAAATACTTCTCTCTCCACCCATCAGCTCCTTGATTATAACATGCTTTATATTGTTCTTGCAGCTCCTTCGTCAGAAGCCATGATTCAAGGCAGAATTAATCCCTGTTTTGATGTTCATTTGCTAGTTTTTTTTTTTTTCATTTAGATGACTGGCTGAGGTACCTCATGGGAATGAGCACCCCAAGCTCTGCTGTTAACTTTCCTCTTTGAACTGAGTTGGAGTACAGGCTCTTCAAATGATAAAATCCAAAGTTGTAATTGAAAAAGAAGTGGTCTCTGTCAACTAACTAACAGAAGTGGTTGTGTGAGTGCTTGGCTGAGTGGTGATTTGCCACATCACGTTGCATGAGCTACTGCTTTCCTATAGTGATGATAGATTTAATAAGATCCAGTGAACCATTTTTGAGGAATGTTTTAACTGAAGTTTATCCACCTGCTGGCATAGCAGAGACTGTGCTACTGTGTTTACAGATGCTGGTCTTCACCAAACCTGAAGGGTGTTCAGCTCTGCTTTCAGGAGATAACATTCAGGTGCTCAGGCTGCATATCTGAAGCTGGTTGCAGAAAATGTATCAGTTCATTAGACCAGGCGCTTACCTGCAAAAACACCTGTAATTCAGACTAAGTAACTACATCTAGAGCAACGATAAACTGTTAAGTCCTGGGCTGATGATGACCATGGGTTAGGAGCAGTTTTATAATACAGCAAAACAGCAGGAAGTCTTCAGGCATTCAGGGCCATCTTCCTCAAATCAGGGAAGTATTTCAACCTGACTAAGATGTGATGGGTGTGCTTATCAATCGGATTGAGGCCATTCTCAAAACTAGACTGGACAACTGCATGTGTTGTTCACGCAAAGGCTGAGTGTGAGGCTGAGTTTGAGGTTTGGTAATGGGAAAGAGCCCAAGTATGTTGATGCTTAACCTCCAGCCACAGCCTCGTTCTATCTGTAATGTTTCCACTCTCTTAAGAAGTAATATTGGTGTTTTATTCATAGAAAGGCAGAAAGAAATACAAAGCCCAAACCCAAGACAAACTAAGTTGCCCCATATTGTGATGTTAACTTGATTAGGCTAATCTGTTTTCAGCTGATGGTTTAAGCTTCAGGCTTGGAAAAGCAGTAGCATTTAGACATTTGAACACAAGAGGAGCATATTAAAAAGCCTTATCAAAATTCCACATTAATAAAACAAGCTATCAGTGCATCAGAGCACTGATGAGCTTCCCTCTGCAAGCATGCAAGCATCGTAATAGATTCTTTGTAAGGTCTTTAATCCTCAGTAGCTATTGTTGGAAAAATTCAAGACTTTCCCCTAGAACAGGAAATTAAATCTCAAAAATAATACATCTCTTGTATTCTGTCCAGTTTGACTATTCAGTAACTTATACATTATATTTATTTTGAAAAGCAGCTTTTTCCTATGGTTTCACTACAGATGCAATGTGTAAGGAGATTTCACAACTTAAAACTTAACTTGTGTTCCGTTCATCTTCTCTTTGAACCTGTAAGTAGGCAGCAGATAATTGTTGGGGGTGGTTTTTTGTTCGTTTGGGGTTTTTTTCATTCTTTTATTTTCATTAGAAGACATGATAAAACTGACTGGTGCAGTAGTTTTATTCCCACAATTTTCAAGAGAGATAAAGAAGGCAATGCTTGTAGTAGTGAGATGCAAGAAAGGGCAAAACAAACGACCCAAGTTCAAACTTGCATTTATTACTTCCTGGGAATCATCATTCTCTGTTATAATTAGAAAATAACAAGAGCAACAAAACATATTTTCCTAGAGTTTGTTTTTTTTTTTCCTTTTTGGGGAGATGGAAACTTAACAGCTGAAATGTTGTTCTGTGTCCCAGAAAATGGGTTAAAGCAGTGAAAACTGGTTTAGGTAAAGAACTTTCTACAGCTGAATTGTGCAGGGATCAATGCTCCTCTTGCTTCCTTTTGAGTACATTTACGATTCCTCCTGTGAGATGTCTCTTAGGTGACAAGCCTGACATCCAGCTTTCTCCTCTTCAGCAAAGGAATCATCCCCACAACCAAGGTGTCACAGAGCCTCAAGAGCTGAGAGGAAAACATACCTGGGTTAGGTAAACGCCAGGGGAAAAGACTCTGCACATAACCATGAACTATGTAAGGGAATTCCACTGTCCATTTTTCACACTGGCACATTGTCCTTTACTTTCAAGTAAGCAGTGAAAAATGAAGACAATCCCTGGAGTACATTCTCTACTGGAATTCTAGTCTCCTTGTATCCCCAAGAGCTGGTGGCACAAGTATTTTGTACCCTCTCTCTGCTTTCAAATTATTCTACTTCTCATGAAGAGACTGGCTTTTGACATCAAAAGCATTTAGCAAATTAGAGTGTAGCTCCCTGAATCTAATTCTGCCATCATAATTCATATGGCTACCTAGAGTCTCTTGGACAAAAAACACCAAAGATAACTAAATCTACAAAGGCAGCTCTGGTATAAGTTCTTCCACTGGGCCAGGTCTTACCTTTGCTTAAAGCTTTCCTGTAGCAACCTGAGGCATTTACATTTACAAATAGGTAATATCTTCAAATAATCTTTGGCAAGTAAATGTAATCAAATGGGAGAGAGGCAGAAAAAAGAAGGCTTTTACATGGAAATGTTACTGGAAATGAGCTGATGAGATACACTTGAGTTTCTTGTCTTAAACAGAAAAAAAAATGAGCGTAGTTCGTTATGCAAAGCCAGGGATAAGTACATATTATTTTCAGTGGAAGCTTTTGCTTTGCTTAGTGGTTGATAACCATTTGAAGGCACTTTTCAGTTCACCTTTCTTCCCCATTGCCTCCTTTATGCACTAGGGGGACCCTGAAGTTTTCCACACCATGGAAACAACTCAGCGATGTCGAAGCAGGAGCGCTGCCTTTCCTGGTCACCTTAGCCTAGGTTTTTCCAAGGGGAAAGGTGGGAAAAATCTGCTCAACCAGTTGTTGAACATACCCACAGACTGCTAACATGGCAGTGGGAAAAGCGTGCAAAGGGGCTGTAGCCATACTTTGCTTTGTTTCATCATGCACACTGGTGCTTGCAGCTCTTCCCATCATCAATAAATAAGAGCTGACTTTGCTTTGACTGCTCTGTTTGCTCAGCTAATGTTGTGACATTGGCACCAAGGCTTGAGTCACTGCGTTTTTGAGAAATTAAATGTTTCCTTCCCCAGCCTGAAGTGATGCCAAATACCTAAGTTGCCACTGCTGCAGCTCAATAAACTGTTAGAGAAGTGGCAGATTGCTACTCTAACTATATAGAAAAAGAATATGTATTGACACAAATCCCTTTTAAAACAATATTTTCCAAACACAGTTTCAAATGAATCTGTTCTAAAGAGGGCTATAGGCAACGTCATTCCTTTTTCTTTTAGCAGACAGGCAAAAAATCCTCTGCATTTGACTTACTAGACCTCCATATAGAGATCCATAATTCAGCATGTCAAAGCTTTACTATAAAGCTCATGGTTTATGAGGTGATGTAAAAATCTATTTTTCCTTTGTACAAAAAATCTTTCCCCACTATCTCTTAGTGGGATGATGCTTTTTGATCTCTGCATGAATATTTCTAATAAAAATACGTGCATGCATTTTAACATCTCTAACATGAATTAAAAGAATTTTTCCTGTCTTAAAAACATCTAGTGTCAACACTGTTGTTGAATATTTAATGTGAAGTATAATGTAATTTGACTAGATAATTATCTCAGAGGAAATGGTGACTGCCCCATTGTTTTTTCCTGTGTTTATTTTTTATCATCTTTGATGATTGTTTAAAGTAGAAATGGAACTGAATGACTAACTTCCAAGACTCGCCTTCTCTCTCTCTCTCTCTCATTCTCTCTCTCTCTCTCTCTCTCTCTCATTCTCTCTCTCTCTCTCTCT